AAGTCGCTGCTCGACAGAAACTGCAACTCGATCCGCGCAGAAAAGAACCGCAGAAGCTGGATGACTAGCTGGAAGGCGCGAAGGAGGAGACGACGAAACCGCACGCCGAAGCACTTCGTCGTAGTTTGGAACGAAAGGGAAGACGACGATTTTTCGTCGTCGTCGAGTGCGGGAAACTTAGCCTAAACACCGCGCAGAAAATAACAAGGATATTATATTTATACACACACGCGCGCGCGCAAATTTGGATGAAACTTGTGACATTTATCAAGGACTTGATCAAACACCTTACAATGGGTAAATCATGGGGGTCTGTGCTCCATGACGATTTGTTGCCAATAACCATTATTATGGGTTGTGCCCAACCAGACTTCAGTAACATCGGGTAAAGTAATATCCCTTTCCACAAGTATTCTGGCCACCGAGGGTCTAGTTAGGTTGAAAGTAAGTAGATGTAGCTTCAAAGGATCCCCAAGGATGACCCCAATAGAATATAGAACCTGATGGTGAAAAAAATGCAGCTTGAGATCAGGTAAACTAAACCATATCAGCGCAGTGGGAGTTTCGTGTTTTGGGTCGAAATCAGGAGACCACTTGAGTAGTTTCATAGGATTACCAACGATGTTAAAATATTTTCTAGAGAAAATCTGAGTGGAGTCCTCAGGCATGGCTAACTGAATCAATGCATGTCTCCCATCCATGAGCATCACTTTTCACTTTCCTGTTAATTTGAGGTCATCAAAACTTTTCCTGATAATTTCCATAGGTGGGTGTCCCCACTGAAATTTCCCAATAAGAGCAAATTTGAATTTGCCAGTCAGCATTGAAATTTCTGACATGGATAAAAAAAGTATTATCTTCCCACTTTTTCTGCTTGCATTTTTAATAAAGTGACAGTCATCTGTACCATCACGATGCTCCTTAAAAATTGGAGGGAAAACAACTGCTTCTCCCCCTGAGAATTACTCACCACGTGGGCAAAGGAGTAGGTTTTTTCAGGTTCAACCGAAGAAGAAGGAAGCTCCATCACAACAAAGAAACTGCAAGTCGGGCAGAGGCAAAAAAACGAGCTGAAGAGCTGCGCAGGAACCGAATGCGCAGAAGACAGAAGACAACACGAAGTCGCTGCTCGACAGAAACTGCAACTCGATCCGCGCAGAAAAGAACCGCAGAAGCTGGATGACTAGCTGGAAGGCGCGAAGGAGGAGACGACGAAACCGCACGCCGAAGCCCTTCGTCGTAGTTTGGAGCGAGAGGGAAGACGACGATTTGTCGTCATTTTTCGTCGTCGTCGAGTGCGGGAAACTTAGCCTAAACACCGCACAGAAAATAACAAGGATATTATATTTATACTTTTAGAGCAAATGAGGTCTGAAGAATCTCCCTCGCCCCCCACGATAGAAGATTCCAAAGACGGGGGAGCAACGACATTGTGTGAAAACTGAATGGTTGACATATTGCCTGCAAGGATGTGACATCTCCACGCGCGCGCGCACACACACACACATATATATATAAGGAAAAACCCAATGGCTTATATATTAAAGAGGAAAAGATACAAATATGTTGAATGAGAGGGCCTAAAAGAAGAATTAACTCACACAATACAACACACAACACCAAATAAAACAAAGATGCAAAAGGATAAAAAATCAAAAAATCACTAACAGACGCAAAAGTACTAGAAACGTCTCATTTTAGTCCTCCCACTGTCTGTAGTTCTCGGAAAGGATCCGGCTAACAGGTTGATAAGGTCCATACCATTACCCGAAGTAATCAAAGTATCGTCTATCAGATTTCTAAGCTCAAGTAGTTCTCCATTCTTCTTCTTCCTCATGGATGTGTAGACCTGTCATTCCTCATCCGAGGATTGACTCATCTGATCAATGAATTGTTTTAAAGGTGGTCGGATATGTGTAGGCTGTTGCACATCATGAACATTATGATCCCCATGAGCCTGAGTAACATTAACATTTTGCTCGACCTGATGAGACGGTAGTGAAACAGTAGAAGTATTGCTACCTGTAATATCAGTGATAGGTTTTAGAGCAAATGAGGTCTGAAGAATCTCCCTCGCCCCCCACGATAGAAGATTCCAAAGACGGGGAGCAACGACATTCTGTGAAAACTGAATGGTTAACATATTGCATGCAAGGATGTGACATCTTCAGGAGTATCCTTTTGATGATCAATAGCGTCAATAACTTGGGGCTGAACAGCAGGAGCTAGATTCTCTGGCTCTGGCGGAGCGCTTTGCTTTTTTAGTCTGAGTTAGGGGTGTAGATGGTGACATTGAGAGTTGAAGTTACCCAACATACGACAGTTCGAACAATAAGAAGGAAAAAAGCTCAATCACTACCTTTTGCCAATATCCATGGTGTTGTGGCCTACCAAGTCTCTTCAGAAGCGGATAAAGTGATGTCTCTTTCAACAAGTACTCTGACTTCAGATGAGCGAGAAAAAATAAAACTAGGAATGTCCGTTTTAAGTGACCTACCATAAGCTTAGACAATAGAGTACAACACTTTTTAAGTGAAATAATGAAATTTCAAACTAGGGAGGCGAATCCAAACCAGAATTATTGGTGTTTCCTTCTGTGGGTCAAAATTCACAGACCATTTCAGAATCTTCATTGCTCTGTTATTAATCCAGATTATCCTTCTAGCAAATAAATACATGTAATCCTCTTCATTATTAAGTTGAATAAGAGTGTGTATTCCATCTAAAAGTCCAATTTTTCACTCCCCAACAAGGTGCATAAGCTCAAATTCCTTACGAATCAGCTTCATTTTGGGATGACCATACAGAAATTTTCCGACCAAATTCAGACGACGGGAGGAAGCAAGTTGAATACCTTCAACTTCTGTAAAAAAAATGGCAGGTTTCCCATTCTTCCTACTAGGTTTTCTATTCTCCATACCAGGTTTCTTGATGTTCTCCGCATACTCAAACCAAGGAGGAAAAGAGCATACCATGTTTTAGGTGTCCCCGAGGCTTGGGCATCCGCAAGGGCAGCAACATATGATCTGTCTGAAGCCATCCCAAAGGATGGAGGTGCAGAGAGCAAATTACGAAACCAAACAGGGAGCAAGGAGCTGAGGAAAGCCCCTCTTTGTGATGTGCTGCAGACGGAAAGAACCAGATAGCGACAACTAAGAGACTCCCCGAGCGCGACTTCTCGGGATGATGTCGAGCTGCAGAAATCCGCAGCGAACCTCAAAAGCCGCAGCAAGTGAGAGCCGCTGAATCAGGACGACGAAGCGACGAAGCCCGACGCCCCTGAGCCAGACGACCTGTCGAGAGAGCCGAAGTGGGACGATGAAACAGAGCCACTGTAGAAAGATTGGCGACAAAGACGAAAAGGACGAAGGCAAGACAGTTCGACGAAAATGCGGGTAGAAAGATTGGCGACAAAGACGAAAAGGACGAAGACAAGACAGTTCGACGAAAATGCAATGAATCAGAAAGACCAGGGATCGCCATAGGCGAACCCTAGCAGAGCGAGGAGGACGAGGATCGCCATCTTTTTTTATATATCATCATATATATCAAGTCTAAAAGCTATATATTAAGGGTCTTTTGCCCTATAAGGAGTTATGTTTATCACCCTATCTAAATATGTATAAAAAAATATTTACTTTGGACCATTTTGCCAATTTGCCTCTATATGGCTTACCCATGTCGCCATATTTGTACAATTAACATGAAAATATTAGCTTGATAATCTTTTTACCTCCATATGGGCTCACTTTTATCACCTGGCCTATGCATGTATCAAACTTATATTTGTTTGAAGTCTACTCTTTTTGAGCAAATAATTTTTGTTATATGTAGTAGCTGTTTTGCCAACACTAACAGTATGATTTGTTTGTGCTCGGTTATCTACAATAACCAGGAGGATATCCGTTTGCCTATTAACAAATTACCAAGAGCGAGAAGAAAAGTATTTCAAAAGAATCAACATCTATATAAAGTTGTGCGGAAAGGAATACTCGAGTCATATGATATACAAGTTTGGAGGTCCACAAGCGTTCTACATAAAGAGTTTAATATTATTATTAAACATGATGCTAAAGATCAACACCATAAGGGAAAAACAAAGAAATAATTATAATCTGTCTAGCTTGGCCTGATCAGCCTTTCTCTCATCTCTTGCCTCCCCGCCAAGATTTGACCATCTTGAAGGTAATTAGTAATAGGGAGCAAGATGCATCATGCAAAAGGCAGGCTTCAACAATTGGTGAAATCAATCATGGTTTTCAGAATGACCTTGCGCGGGACATTATGATTCAAATGTTGACTATATCTATATGAAATGCTCTGTATTTGAATGTTTTTGACTTCGTTAGAACTAGTAGGAATGTTTTGGCCTATTTTCATTATGCATGATATATGATAAGTAATATGCTAATATTTTGTATATTATTCAGTCCAAGCTCAACCAAGTTGAATTGATTCTCAGCATGACTAAAAATGTGAAAAAGATTAATTTAGTATTTTGCTAATTAGTAAGCATGCTAGGCTCTATTCGTGCTCAAGTCGATTCCAACTTTGATTAGATTTTTATTCAATCTTTGATTTTAAAGGCAAAGTAATAGTCTTATGGTGCATATGAAGTCACATTTACTTGCTAAGAGAAGTGAGTTTCATTGTTTCGTTAGGTAATGTTACATAACTTGGAGAGGGCTGAGGATTGTGTACAACCAGTGTATTTCTCGGTTACATGATTTTTTTAGGCAAAAGAAGAACGCTTCCATCTGTCTTATGAAATGTAGCTATAAATATTTCTCGTCTTTATGGGTTTTAGCATTTGGAAATTTGGTTTAGTCATCTTCTTTGAGAGCTTCTGTTGGATTACTTTTCTGAATTAATATTTGGCTGATGATTTGTATGGCTGAAGCCTGTGTAGCTTGTTGTTTTGTATTACCTTAGCTTTGTTTCTCAATTCATTCTTGCAACTTCCATCAAAATCTTAGCAAATTTATAGTGTTTTGGAACAGTTTTATATGCTGACTTTTATAAGTGTCCCACACTTCTTCCAAGTCGGAGAACTGAAGAACGAACAAGACATGCATACAAAATGTTATCGGACTGCTTTCGGTAAAATGTCTTAACTGCTTTGTGTTAAACTAATCTTTTCCTCTCCATTAGTGTAATTTATTCAAATTTTTAACTTTTGTTCAGATATGGAATGAATACTGCAACATGCCGTGCCAAAACACTTGTTAAGTATTTTGGAGAGGAGTTCGACGAAGACGGTTGTCACTTGTATGTTTGCCTTCTTTCCTATTCTTCTTTTTTATGTCGTGCTTATTTTTCGCAGATGTGAGATTTTTTCTTTTCGATTTAACCATCCCGGTCGATGGCTATGCACAATTTATTTGTGGAACAAGGTCCATGTTTAGACATATAGATATTTTGAAGTACTATACATCTAAAAGTGACCTGTGAATTTTCTTAATTTGGATTGATTGAAATATCTTGTAACATTCAATGAAGCTTGGAGTTTTGAACAGAGACATCGTTAGAGAGTAGTGTTAATTTGCTTCATTGAAACATGATCATTTGGTAGTTGTTTTTATAACTTGATGTCCTAAGTTAGTGTTGAACTCCATATCTGCTCAGCCCGACAACAACGATAAATACCAGGCATGACAACAAGCTGCTCAGAGTTGATTAACCTCAATTATCATCGAATCAATCCAAACGATGCCTCTGATAGTAAATCAGATTGCACCAATGCCTTAAGAGCGTTGAAATTGCCTATGAATGGCCTTTTATAATTGAAATGAGCATTCGTGGCGAAAGCAATGAATTGCTAGTGCGACACATGTGAATAAAAGTTGAATTGCCTCACCCATCCCTGAAGTTACTAGAACAACGTCTGATTGCATCTAATTGATATAAAGCGGGTAAAATTGCATTGCCCGAAAACCAGTTGAACTTATTCTATAAAATTCTATATTTTGAATTGATCAAATTTATATGAAGCACTATATATAAAGTATTAATATATTTGATTTTATAAAAATAATTAACTAAATTAACTATTATTTGATTAATCACCAATTAATTAGGTAATCACTGATTAATATCTCCCAGCATTGTAGCAAATCAGAAGAATCCACTAGCCTTTACATGCAATGGTGGATGGAATAATGGACGGCTGGACGGCTATGATGGATTATTATTGTTTGTATATAAAAATTTGTTTTATATAATTACTTATATACAATAACCTGAATGCATACATATTTCCACTCCATTTTTCCTCATGTCCATTCCGTAACGGCAATTGGGGGCTTCAAAAAAGGAGAAATGCTGCAAGTTGAGATAATTAGTGGGACATCTATATATATATATATATATATTTTTTTTTTTTTTTGAAAAAGCCCAAGGGCTAATATATTAAAGATAAAAATACAGATATGTTTGTATGGGTGGGCCTAAACACCCAACCCATACGGTACAACACATAAAAAAAAGTAAAAGATGGGTACATATAGAAATAAAAGAAAAAAATAAAAAAAACCACCCGGTCGCTGAAAAAGTGTAGGTCATCCCAATCTAGATAACCCAACCCATACGGTACAACACATAAAAAAAAGTAAAAGATGGGTACATATAGAAATAAAAGAAAAAAATAAAAAAAACCACCCAGTCGTTGAAAACGTGTGGGTCATCCCAATATAGGCTTGCCTCTAGCTCTAGTTCTCTATTCCTCCTCCGGAGAATCAGCCTGATGGGGTAGAGCTGAAGAATTACCAACAGTAGTACCCACAGTAGGTTATGTAATATGTGAAGTATGAGTTCCCGCTACACCGAATACTTCTTGAAGAATTGGAGCTGTGAGGCTTTCTTCTGATGGGGTAGAGCTGAAGAATTACCAACAGTAGTACCCATAGTAGGTTATGGAATATGTGAAGTATGAGTTCCCGCTACACCGGATACTTCTTGAAGAATTGGAGCTGTGAGGCTCTCCTGATTATCAGTCTGAACTCCATCATTTATAGGTAAGAATCCATCAATATTGTTTTGTATGGATGGATTTTGTAGGTGCCAACATCTCATCACTTGCAGTAGCAGTAACAACAGTTTCATGGGGGAGATCCTCAGGGGCAACAGACACCTCATGTCTGATGATATCATCCTCAGGTTGAACTAAAATGTCCACAGCAGTAGGGTTAGACCCTTCCTTATTCACTTGAACCTTAGATTTCAAATTAGAATGACGTTTGTGACATTTAGCAAGGATATGACCAAACATCTTGGGTACAACGAGATCCTCAGGGGCAACAGACACCTCATGTCTGATGATTCAGGTGGTACAAATATATCCATAGAACCATCTTTATTCACTTGATCTTTAGATTTCAAATTAGGGTGAAACTTATGACATTTATAAAGAGTATGCCCAAATATCTTACAATGAGAACAATAAGAATGTCTATTCTCCATTATGATTTGTTGCCAATAACCATTATGGATTGTGCCCAACCAGACTTCAGTATTATCAGGTAAAGTAATATCCCTTTCCACAAGTATTCTGGCCACCGAGGGTCTGGTTAGGTTGAAAGTAGGCAAATCTAGCTTCAAAGGACCCCCAATGATGACCCCAATAGAGTAGAGAACCTGATGGTGAAAAAAATACAGCTTGAGACCAGGTAAACTAAACCATATATGTACAGTGAGAGTTTCATGATTTGGGTCGAAATCAGAAGACCACTTGAGTAGCTTTATAGGTTTACCAGCGATGTTAAGATATTTTCTTGGAGAAAATCCGAGTGTAGTCCTCAGACACGATTAACTGAATCAATACATGTCTCCCATCCACGAGCCATACTTTCCACTTTCCTGTTAATTTGAGTTCATCAAAATTTTTCTTGATAATTTCCATAGATGGGTGTCCCTACTGAAATTTCCCAATAAGAGCAAATTTGAATTTGTCAGTCAACGTTGAAATTTCTGACATGGAGAAAAAGAATGCTTCCTTCCCATTTCTTCTGCTTACATTCTTAATAATTCCTTATAACTTGAGGGGAATCCCACTGCGGACTCCACTTGGGGGTTACCCACTACGTGGGCAAAGAAGACTTTATCCGGCTCCACCATAGAAGTAAATGCCATCAGAGGTCAGAGAAGGACCTGTCAGGCGGACAGCGACAGCGACGAAGCCGAAACAAACGCAGGTGCGCCGAAACAGATAACAACGGGCGCAGATGACGCGATATTTATAAAAAGCCTAAGGGCTGATTTTATTGAAATAGAAAATGATACATAAAGGTAGTATGAGAAGAGCCCAAAGGAGACACCCTACCATACGATATAAGTACAATAATACCAAAAATAAAAAAAAATAAAAAATAAAAAAAATAAAAAAAATAAAAAAAATAAAACATGCAGAAAACAAGTAACTAGGGACGAGCCAGTTTATTCATGCCTCTTCCTCTAGTTTTAGGAGCAGAAGCGGATAACAAACTTTGAAGAGTCGCGCCATTGCCAGGAGTCACCAAAGTATCATCCATTAAGCGTCCAAGTTGGAGTGAGCCCCCAGCCTTCTTATACCGCCGAGAAGTGTAAACCTGTCATTCTTCATCGGAAGACTGACTCATGTGATCCTCGATCTGATTTGATGTTAGCACTGCAGTAGGAGGAAAGACAGTCGTTGCCACCGCGATAGGTACCAGTGTATGTGAAGTGTGAATTGTTACCTCTAA